AATACAAAAAAAAAAAGAAAACAAAAACCCAGCACCAAAAAAAAAAAAAAAAAAAAAAAAAAAAAAGAAGAAATTGAGGGTCAACAAAAGATTTGCTAAGAGATGCTACATAGTAGCCAACAGACACAGTCCAGGTCCAGTCTTCGACAAAGTGCTAAACCTTTTCCCTCCACCGTCTGACTAATGATTGACAATGAAAAGTTTTCAATACACGACTGGCTTAAATAATTAAAACTAATCCAGCTTTTAAGATGAATTATTCACAGAGGTTGTTGAAGTCTGGGTTCTTAAATAATTGAGAGGTTGATTGCAGATCTTTTATGGCGGTGCCTAATTTCTGGGCTCAGCAAAAACGAGAGAAGAGATTTTATAAGCAGCAAATGCCCATTGAGCAAAAAAAAAAAAAAGGCCTTTTCTTATACAGAATAACCAAGACATGATGGCAGAGTTGTTTTATAATCCAGCCTCTTGTACAGATGATTAACATGCTAATAAATCCTTCTTTACATATTAATTTATCTGTGTTAGTGTTTTGGTTCTTCCAAAGAATTCTACTTTTTACAGCATTTTGACAATAAAGAAAAAAGGATGGTACTAAAAATGCTCTTGCGTTATTATGCAGTAGGTCACCTAGATGAGGATGTTTGATATTTTCTTTGACCACAAGTAACACAGGAAAGATCTGAGCTAAAATTCTGAGGTGCATGTTTTGGAATGAAGGATATCATTTTTCTGATGAGAGTAGTGAGCATTTAGGCTGAAATATGAAGTAATGGTCAATGGTGACAAAAAAACCAACAACATGTTTTCAAGATTCATTTTGCTAAGGGAGATTAAATCAAATATTAAAATATACTGCTCAAAAAAATAAAGGGAACATTTCACTTTAATTTTGTGTGTGGCTCCAAATCCAGGCCTCCATTGGTTAATAAATTTGATTTCTATTGGTGATTTTTGTGTGATTTTGTCGTCAGCACATTCAACTTTGTACAGAACAAAGTATTCAATGAGAATATTTCATTCATTCACATATAGGATGTGTTATTTGAGTGTTCCCTTTATTTTTTTGAGCAGTGTATTAAAGTGTATGAAAGTTACAAAAGGGAGCTGTGTCTTTTCACGGCACCGTATTTGAGCCTAAATAATGTTAACAATGTACAGGGCAGAAAGAATCTGCACAAAACTAGACTGTTTTTAGTTGAATGACAATTCCAAAAATATATATATAAAAAAAGAGCAATTGAAATGCTAATTTAAATGCATCGTTAAAAGACCCAAATGTGACATAAGTGCCTGTGAAATGTGTCTGAAAACTTCTGGCCTTAACCATCATCAACTTATCTTTTCCTGCAGAATCGTTCAACACATTTCAGTTGCGACGTCCTGTGCCCATAGTACCTGAAAATGGGGAACAAAGAAGCTACTTTTGGTTCTACAATGCGTTATCTGTTTAGTGCGTCTCTTTCGTGTCTGACTTAACCTCTAGTTCTTTTCTGCAACGCGTTGTGACGGAAAACTGAGAGGCACACTGGTCTGAGCTGCTGTAGTCTCATTACTGGACAGAGGCGAGTGCTGAACGGATAATTCATCCTCTAACAGATTGCAGATTTACTCCTACACAGATTTGCAAAAGTTCATTAGCAGCCAAACACGGTCATTTATCACAGTGCCAAAGCTAAATGAATGAGAACATTTTTGATTTAGTGTCTGTCTGAGCAACAGTAAAAATGCTTACGACGATTAGAAGCTACTTTTTTGACAATGAAATTAGATTTTATGGTGAACAAATTGATTGGCGACACATCTTTGTTTATTTCCTATTTATCTAGATTGTTTAACCTTCACCGCCGCCACTTCCACGAATATCGAATCTAATTGTATTTCTTGCAAATGCAGATATGCTTGCCACTTTAAAAAGAATAGCTAATCAAATATTGGCACACAAAAAAAAGCCAACCAATGTTGACGGCACTAATATAAATAAAACACGATGGATCTTTCCACTGTCGTGTGAAGCAGATACATAATTTAAAATTGCAAATTAAAATGGATCTCCCTGGCAAAGTGGGAACCTCTAGGGGTTCTTTTTCTACAGAATCTGCACAATCATATATCGAGTGACAATGTGCCGCATGGAAACGCAGAAGGCAAGGGCTTATTGTAGTTGATTGTGGTAGAAGTCTCATCTTTGTGTCTAGCTGGAGTAGTCGCTTATTGGAGGGGGTGCAATTAAAGATACTAAAAAAAAAAAAAGAAAAAAAAAAGAAGTCAAGCTTAAAACTAGGCCATACAAAAGTTAAGGCAAACAGCAACTGCCTAATTATTAATGTGTCCAGTTGAAATCAGAGATATTGGCATTGAGATGGTCAAAAACAAAAACACAGCGGTCTCTCCTTGCAGCTGTAAATAACTGACTGTGATATCTAAGGGACGAATGTTAGCAGGAAGCTACTTTCAGTGGTGCGGTTGTTTATCAAAAGTCAGCTTTAATAAACCATGCCAGGCGAACAGCTGTGCTGCCGGGCCTCCGTCAGCGAGCAACACTCAGCTAAGTGCATCCTTACTCCATCAGCTATTTACTTCCTATGCCATCCCAAGTAGTCCATCATTGCTCATGCTTTGTTTCCTGGAGCAAAAACATGTCTGCAATATAGGAAGCTAAAAATGATAAATACCAGCGGTCAATATTTGTACTCGATTTAATTCATACCCTTCATAGCTATTCATTTAATTTACGATCTCTAATAAAAGCTACATTCTTAACCATTCAAACAAGTCTGCAAAATCTGCCACAAACTGTTGAGAGGATGGATGTAAAAGTTGTGATTTCACAGAGTTTTTTTTTTTTTTAAACTTGCTGAGGGATAAGGCAACGTGTTCTGCTCCAAATACGTCTCATCTGTGAAGTCTATTGATGTTGGACACTCGGCTGTAGAGCTGCAACAGACTGAATTAGAGGATAATTAAGGAAGAAGAAATGTACCGAACGTCAGCTCACATCTTTGCATCTTTCCAGTTTCTAAACTTGTCTTAATATCACGTGTGTCAATCACTAGTTTTGTTTAATTTGAGTCAGCAGGACGCAGGGTTCTTCTTAACCGATGTCTGGCATCAGTCGAACCAAAGCGCAGGCTAGAATATATCCAAATTTCTGCTGTAATTTTCAGGCAACACTTGAGGTTCAGAGGCTCAGAGCATTTTGACTATGATCAAAGAAACATGTCAGTGAAAACTGATGTCTCTAGGAGAGCCAAGTAGAGAATCCACTTCACAACTAGTCTGAAGTCCTCATTTGGGTTCACACTTTCCTGAAAGTAATTAACTCTCCTGCACTGGAGTTTTTACATTATAAATAAAAATTGCCTCTACAGTCTTCTGTTATGGATCTTTTAGGTGTTAACGGATACAGACTGTTATCAAACGGCCAAAGATGCTGGAAAACTCCCCAGACGGCCTGGCATTAAATTTCTTTTAGAAAACAATTTATTGTTATTTTGATGTTTTTAAATGTTATGTTGCACAACAGGATTTTAATAGAAAAATAGATTTTTTCTAAGAATCTTGCTTATTGTGTCATTTAGTTTTTAAAGTTAGTCGATTTTTACCGTTTTTCACTTCTTTGCTGTTTCGTGTATGCTAACAAGGTTTTTTAAAGTTTTATGATTAAAAACCTGAAGGTTTAAATAGACTATGTTTAATGTATTTCTAAATTGGTTTCAGAATCCTGAGTTTGACCAACTACAAATTAAATGTAAATTCGGCTTCAAATTTCCCTAAAAATATATATAAAATGACTATTTATTTGATAAATAGCCATTTGTAAACACTATTTACATGATAGTGTTTGTTTACATAAACACTATTATGTAAATAGTGTTTTTACATAAATTAGCTGCATGAACTTAAGACACTTGACACCTTCTGACACTAAAATTAGTTTTCTTTTGTAATTAATCAGGTAAGTTTTATTTTGTCACAGAGAAGAAATTACAAATGAGTATTTTTCTTTCTTTTAGCTACTCTTGAAAATGAAAATTATTAAATGTCACCCATATGCCAATCCATTTTTTGGCAGACATGTCAGGGAAAAGCGTTTTTATTCTATGACTTCAACATGTGCCGCTGGCTGACAACTACTGGGACTGTGGTACTACTACTACTTTTTTTTTATGCCAAACTGTGGTGGGTTTGGCATAAAAAAAAAAAAATCAGGAATGAAAATATCGAAAAGCAACTGTTCAGTGACTGTTCATGGGTGGGGAGTATGTTTCTCTCTCAAAGTACCAGCTAATCTTGCTAAAGAAAAATCAGGAGGCCGACACCATGAATCTGAAAATGGGTTTTCATTTGGTCATTCAGCTGCATAATGTTCCCTAACGAAGAAGTTGTTTGTCAGAAACAAAGTTCACTGTGAAATTATATTACTGAGGTAAAAAGTTAGTTCCTCTGACATTTGACCCAGGGTGCCAATAAGTGATGAAAGTGCTGCAAAATAAAAAGTTTAATTGTTTCATTTTTAAGTGTAACTTCTTTCTTGGCTATGGCCAGTTTAGAAAGAAAGAAAGTTGGGTCCTCAATAAAAAAAAAAAAATGTTTTTCTGAAATCCTTATGAATTCAGGTCTTTGCTGCTCAGTTTCCAATTCAGTTGTTCTTCGTCATCTCGACAGGATTACAAAGGTGTTTCATAAAATCTTAAAGTCCTTGTCTTTGACCACATGTGTGCGGTCCCTGCAGGTACCCATCTAGTTTTGAAACACACTACAAAACCTCTGAGGGGCCAGAGTTTCTATCATGCTGTGAGTTTAAATCACTCTGTCGTTGCTCAGACAGACTTTGGAGCTTCTTTGATGTCTTCAATCTTGCGTCAAACAGGACGATAACGACTAATGACGGCCCTCCATGTTTGATTTGTGCAAAAACATCAGCTGCTTTGCATCCAGGCAGGTTTTCCGCTCAGTCCCCCCTCCCCCCCCGCCCCCCAAGTATCTATACACTCAGACATTTTAGAATTATGGTCCTACACCTTGTTTTGTTGATTCTGCAAAGAGACAGATGGGGTTTCAGGCACCATCTCAAGCTGACAGGGACCCAAAATAACAAAGCAAGCCCACTCCTGCAATAAACAGTCTGCTTCCACGGTTTCATGAGCCTTTCCCCTCGAAAAACAAACCATAATATATCTCATTTTAATGGCAGGCTTAATAGCTTCGACAGCATCTGCTCCATCTGTGACTGTCTCCTTGCTCATTTCATTGGTAGAAAAAGGTTATTAAGTTACTGATGGTCCGTGCATGATTGAAGCACGTGTATTCTTGTCCAGATTCTGGGTAAAAACTCGTCCAGAGTTGATTATTTTTTTTGTTTTTTTGGAAACGTCCCCCTCTGTTTGGACTCTAATAGTTCCTTTATAACTCCATCCTGACAGAGTTCACTGCGGCAGGACAGTCAAAATGTTTGTGATGGTCCATTTCTGACCAGTGCAGTCCTGAATGGCCAGCTGGAAGGTGAAGGCTGACTGCTTGCTCTCCACCAGCTCCAGACAACGCTGAGACTCAATATTCTGGATGGCTCCCCCCTGCAGAAAAAGAAGAAAAAAAAAAACAAGATGAAGGAATGCAGACATTAGTTTGGCACCTAAATAAATAATCTACCACCGACCCACTTGTAATGAATGTTTTCAGCTTTCTCTAATGCCCTTCTGTTCTTGAAAGTGAACGTGTTCACCTCTGTAAACATGAGCAGCCCCAATTTTAATGTCGACTGAAGAACATTTTTCAGTTGCATTTATGTCCAGCCCATTTACATTTACATGGATGGAGGGCTGTCAAATGTCCTCGTCATCCATTAGATGCGTAAAAAAGAAAGAACTTCATGCTTTGTATTTTACAGTTTGCACAACAGAACATAATGAGACATCGTCTGGTTGTCAGAAGGGCTATAAAGCAAACACGACGAGATAAAAACATTAGATGCAATATAGCTATAATGTTTACTTAGCACAAACTAATAAAAAATGCAAAAACCGCATATGGAAAAAACCCCCACACACTTACTGCTTCAATAAAAATGAGGAGGATTAGTATGTTTTTAATAAAATGGATTAATTAACTTAGAAACAGCAAACAGGAATGCTTCTATAGAAACAGATATTTTGAAAGCTTGAAGCTCTGAAGCACACAGGAGAGAGCAGTAGCTTAACTAGGATCAGACTTGATAAGTGTGCTTTTTTTTTTTTTTTTTTTAAGGAAACTGAGGTCAAAACAAAAGCCTTAAAGGCAGAGACGCTTAAAAGTCATGTCGAGCTTTAAGATTTCTGAATTACCGCATAATAAGGTTGGGTGTAGTCCGGAGGGAGGATGAGGCAGAATGTCAATGTCTAATGAAGACAACAGGAAGTGCTTTTGATAAACTGGGAGTAAGAGAATAGTGTTCAACTGGAAAAACACGCTTATGATCATTATTATGAAGCCAAAGCAGATTATGATGAAACATCATTAGCTGATTAATTGGGCGGACCCTTTCGCAGTAAAAATATGAGCGTGCACAGCATCACCTGTCATAGCTGCAGGCTTGCACATCGACTCACTTTCACTCAAGATTAGAAGTGAAGAGATTGCTAATAAAACTTGAGACCAAGACCACAAATCAAGCATCAAGTCTTTGTTTATAACAACATGAGCGCAAACAGAGTCCAGATCAAGTCAGTGTGTCTCCTCATACACAGAAACCTTGCATAGCCATTTCATTTAGCCGTCTCTTTTCAGAAATGTATGCTTTATGCTATCTGTAGAGAAAAGCACTTTTACAGAATCAACTAAGTGGCAAAAGCCGCTCCATGTGGAAGTGGTGTGATGCACGCGCTTACCACACACACCTGTTTGGATCAATCAACTCTAAATGCAACTCTTTAGGTTTTACACATGAACTAGGTACATTTTAGGGAGTGAAAAGTCTCTAGGTATGAATTCAAAAAGCAGTGCTTTTTGAATACTAGGTGACATGTGCTAAGAACATGTCTTCAGGGGTAAGAAAACAGAAACCTGTCGCTCTAGGACTCTTTGACCCCACCATCTCGGCTATTGCAAACCCCCCAAAATAAATGTTTTCAATTATAAAGGCAATAAGAAAGGGCAGTTTTTCTGTATATTTTCATGCAATATATGAATAGAATACCTACAGCAGACAGGCACCAATGGTACAAGGCTTTTCAAAGTAAGATTTCATGGCTTCAAACTTTGTGGTTAATACTCTTAAGGTTACCTAAGATGCTGGCAATCACTTTTACCATCCATCATTGGATTGTTTTGGTTGAGAGTAGTTTATTCTACTCTCACATAAAAAAACAAACATAGTAACATACAAAACAATATTCTGTATCTGACTTGCATTGCGCATGCAAATGATGTTTGTATAATAGAAGTTGGGTGCAAATACATGTACTATTAACCCTCCTTTCTGGCTGCAGCAAATTTTTTCATTGTTTTTCAAAGTCCCCAAACGTGGCTGCTGGTCTTGTTCCGTTTTTTTTTTTTTTTATTTTTTATTTTTTTAATAACCCTTAGATTTTAATTTTGGTAATAACATGTATTCACACTTTACTGCTCAGAGACACATTGTAAATATTATAATACATTTCAAAAATCAGCAGGGGTACACAAACACTTACAAACCGTGGGGAGCAGAATAAGCTGAGCACAGTTAAAACCATGCTCTAACACTGAAGTAAACACCTGCTTATGTAATGTTAATTAATCTGATTAGACAAACAACCACATACCAATATGAAGCAGCATGCATTACAAAATAAACCTTATAATTGGTAGATGGCTGCGAATCAATTTACAACAATGGGTGATATTCATCCTACCATTAACCTCGTCATTAACCGCACAATTGACACTTAACTTTTGGGATCTTTTCCAACAGGCAGCCCACCAGCTGCTAAATACGTGCTATGAAAAATAGGTAGCTGTCAGCTGTAGCCAACATTCATTTGACCTTGTGTTTGAAATTTCACAGCCTGTGATCACAAATTAATACCAGTTTACAACTGCAGAACAAGGAAGGACAGGAGGCCAAAGTGCTGCCGCTCTTCTGGTTTAAGTTATGAGAGGCGCCTCACTCTTCAAGAACTTGAGATAAATGCTGAGAAAAAATATATATATTTTAGATTTATATAAATATGCAATATTTATGCTTAATATTTCTTATGCTAAATAAAGTCTTTGCATAATTAAAATAAGCAAAATATAAAAATATAAGCTTGAGCTGCATGCGTTTTTTGCACATCATTTTGCTATGAAGCCTCTATAACGCTCCGATGCAACCAAGTACCTTCAGAAGTCAAATGCTTAATAAAATTAAGTTTACCTGTGTGCAAAGTGTCACATCACTCCCAAACTGGCAACTGTTTAAAATGTTTCCTGCTAGTGAATACGCTCTCTCTCTTCTGGTTTTTAAAATGACTGCATGCCATTCTAAGACTGGAATTTTGTTTCTTTTGGTTGTCCATTAACTTTAAAGCAATTGTATCAACAACTCACTTGTTTCCGCTTCACAGATTTTTATGTTTTGTCACAGTTGCACTGAGTTCAGACGTCCAATCTAGTGAAAACTTGATGAGTTCAATGGGCTCTGGAAAACAAGTGGACATTATTGATTATGCTAGTTGAATTTTGGCATATGTGTAAACACAAAATAATTGCTATTTGCATATAATCTCAAATTCTTAAAAACTGTTTGGTCCCATCAATTGTTATCTTTAGTGACTTTATTACAAGCTTAATGTTCATATGACAGCATGCACTTGTTTAACTCGCTGGCATTACGATTTCTGACCGCAATTAAGGTGATGTAGTGTCAATAAAGTTGAATAAATATGCTGCTGAGTACTTTAATGTTATCTAGTGTAATTGTAGTTATTGCTTAACACAATATGCCTTTGAATAAGGACTGTGCTTTCACTTAATATGGGCCTGTTTCTCTCCCCTGTGCATATGCATGTGTTACATTTTATTCTCTTCAACAACAGGCTGGAAACCAAAGTAGGTCCTTCGTTTTTTTGGCACAAACAGTAATATGCTTTAATGAGCTTGGGCCCCGTGGGAAAGAAGACGGAACTCATTTGTGTCAAACTCGCTGTGTTGTTCACGAGAGCTGCTTTCCATTAAAAGCAGTATGCTTTAAAAATCTCACCCACGTCCGAGAAAACAAAAACAAAAAAAAAACATACACACACACACACACACTCAACAGAATGACCATCAGTGTGAGCCCAGAAAATGAGCATACAGCAGTTTTTTTTTTATTTTATTCCCCCCAAGATTCTGAGTCTTCATCAAATTCTGGGCTAAAACAGGAAATTGTTTATGAGTGAAGTTGTTTCTGCACAAATCACTTTACCCCCACACTGTTCTGTTTTTAAAATAATAAATGTAAAGGTAAAAAAGTAAATAAAAAATCCTATATGCTGTTATGGACATTTCTATGTCAAGCAACACATGAACAAAAAAGGATCAAATTAACAGAACACCAAAAGAATAATTAACATTAGGTGGTTACAAAAACGTATGTAGGCTACATCCTCTTCACTAACTTAAAATGTTTTACTGTACAGACTAAAGTGCTAAATATTTAGCCCATACGTTTCCTAATGGATGAAAGAGCAGGAAAAAGACTGGCCACTTCACAGCATTAATCTTCTTGGTGTGGAACCAAAATGTCGCTGGGTTATTTAAGGTTGAAGCACCCAGCATTTTCCATTCGGTTTAAGTTAACACGACCTGGAAAAGTACTTTGATATATTCATAAACATGTGAACCCTGATAATAATGCAGTAGATAGGCCTGGGCCAACATGCTTCGGTATACTACGGGTTAAATTCAATGTTTCTATAAGTGGGCTAGTTAAAAATAACTTGTCTGTACATAGACATCTTTTAATAGATTAACAGATAACTGCAGGCCGTCTTTGATCACCCTGCAGGTGATTGCTGGGCACTCAGCTGTCACAGAAGGTAAGGCTAGTACATTTTACTTTATTGTCACTTTTGGCACTGCAACTGCTGTGAAAATAATGTTATGTCATATTCTGGTCCATTTCATTTAAAGATTGGTCGAAGTAGTGCTTCAGGTGGAATAGTGCTCTCAGCTGGGGAGAAACGCGTATACCTGCCAGTTTGTTGATGCATTTGCCTGCAATTTAAAAGGAAGATGTACAAGTCAGAGACCCCTGGCATTGTGTTAAAGAATTAGAATAACAGGAGGACAGCAGTGGGCAACAGGATCAGCACAAACAACAGATTTGAAGTTGATTTGATGACCTTAGTTAGTAAACATTATGGATAAAAGACTTACCAGTTTTAATAGTCATGAGAAAATTTCCTATTTAAAATGTTTTTGCTTATTGCAGAACTTTAAAATAATATCATTCTTTGTTTGTCAGTGAAAGCCAATACCTCTGGCTTTCTTTTATATAGTAACTCTGCAGGGAAGATGATTTTTTCCCCTAAACCATTCAAAAGGAATAACCTGTTCAAGTGGTTGCTCACATAATTTTTAAAATACTGTGACTTGT